CATGCCACCATGCCTGGCCAATTTTTTATTTTTTAGAGACAGAATCTTTCTATGTTGCCTAGGCTGGTCTCAAACTCCTGGGCTCAAGTGATCCTCCCACCTCAGCCTCCCAAAGTTCTGGTATTACAGGTGTGAGCCATTGTGCCCAACATACTTTTAGAGGTTTTGCTTTGAGTTACAAATATTTGAAACTTGCAAATATAACTTAATCTACATTCTTTTTTGCCTGTAATTTTCCCAGCTTTTCCAAAAATGTAATTTTTTTCTATAATAGCTGTTACATCTATTTATTCTAAATGCAATTGCATGTTTTGTGTCTGAAATTTCTTTAGACGTTGAAAAAGGATAATTGACAAGATAATTATCTAATATTTGAAAGTATTTCTTTGAGTAACAGGACTTGTTAGACTTAGCACGTGTGTGTTTTAGTCAGTGTATATCATCTTTCTGTATTTGTACACATACATAGATACATATGTAAAATATATGTACTTGAACACCTGTCCCTTGCCTTTTACACGAAATTCATTCTGTCCTATACTTGTGAAGAATTCTTTGACTTTATTACGAATTACCAGCTATTCCCAGAATTGGTTTACAGTGTCTAAGTCAGTAGTTTTCCTGGGATGTGTACTATTGTCACTCGTTTGTCCTTAATTTTAAGATCTAGTCTAGAGCCTAAAATATGTTTGAAGAAAACAAAAATAATTATTTCAAACCATTTCCTTTTACTGCAGTTCCCTATGTTTACCCTGCCTCATTTAGTAAAAATATGTAGTTTTTATTACCGTCTATTTAGTCACACACATAGTTTAAAATTTCAAATACTGCTACACAGCTCAGAATGAAAACCAGCATTTTCCTGTTCCTTTCTCTCCCACCCCTGAGTTTGTCTCCTCAAGCTCTTAGCAGTTGTTCCTGGTATTTACCTCCATCTGTGAAAAGGATAGATATGTTCTACTAAATCATTATTTATTGGCTTTACTTCATCTCAGTTAACTTATTAGGCAAGAGGACCCCAGGAGTTACTTTTCCCTCCTTTCCATCCTTCTACAATAGTGATATATAATTTTTTTGTTAAAATTAATGTCCATTGTTTAACTTACGACTTTTATTAACTGGCTAGCTAACAAGTAGTATATTATGATTACAGTTTCTTTCCTGAGCAACTTTTTATACTTTCTGAAATTAACAAATTTCTCCCAGGATTGTGAAACTACTTTATTTTCCATTTGTTCACCATTCTTAAGAATTCTGTCCTATGAGTACTATTTTCTTTTCTTTCTAGAGTTAGCCCTTTAGGGGCCCTTATCTTGTTCTTCTGTTTGAACTGGTTCCTGGTGGGGTGTGCCTCACCATCCTTCAGGGCTTGCCTCTGCTTCTTCTATGCTCAATGTACCATGTCCTGGGTCTTTCTTAGCTCATTTTGATGAGCCCGTCTTCCAAGTGCTTCCTGTGAAAGGTACCTGGGAGGTAAAATTTTGTGATCTCCCATGTCAGTAGATGTCTGTTCCTGCTTGCTTCATTCATAGTTTGCCTAGGTCTAGAACTCTAGGTTGCAGCAATGTTTCCCTCAGCATTTTTAAAGCACTGCTTCACTCTCAGAGCTTTCATCGCTGATAAGACACTGTTCTGACGGTCACTCCATTGGTGTGTACTCTTTTCTGTGGAAGATGTTAGGATTATCCCTTATCTGGAGTTTTCTGATTTTCCCATGATGATCATTGACTTATGTCTTTTTCATTCCTTGTGTTATTCATGTCTTTTTGTGCTGGAAATTCCTCCAGTCTTTAGTGTTTTGTTTCTGGGGTAACTTCCCCTCTTCCTTAGTCTTTTTCTTCTCTTTCTAGAATGTCCGTTATTTAGTTGTCGAACCCTGTACGTTTCTCAACTTATTTCCTCTGTTAAACATCTCTTTGCAGCCGGGTACAGTGGCTCATGCCTCTAATCCCAGAACTTTGGGAGGGCAAGGCAGGCAGATCAGCTGAGGTCAGGAGATTGAGACCAGCCTAACATGGCGAAACCTTGTCTCTACTAAAAATACAAAAATTAGCTGGGCATGGTGGTGAGCACCTGTAATGCCAGCTACTTGGGAGGCTGAGGCAGGAGAATAACTTGAACTTGAGAGGCAGAGGTTGCAGTGAGCCAGGATCGCGTCATTGCACTCCAGCCTGGGCGACAAGAGCAAAACTCTGTCTCAACAAACAAATAAAAAAACACATCTCTTTGTTTTAGTTTCTAGGAGGTTTCCACAACTTTATTTTCCAAGCTATTAAATTAAAAAAAAAAAAAAAAAACTCTCTTCTTATTTCATTGACTGTGTTATCTTTCTCATGATATTCATTTATATATTTTTAAAAATTATTCTAGGTCCTGCATTGTCCCTTTCAAATTCCTCAGTTTTTAGTTGCTTTTGTATCTTTGACTGTACTTTTCATTTGTTCTCTTTCATTTTTGAGCATCCTCAAATATCTAATGGTTCTTTGTTTTATAAATGTACTAAAATGTGTGAGAGACTGGTAAAAGTACTAGCCATAGGGAAATCTATAACCTTAGCTGGAAATTAGGGAAACAAAATAGAGGGATTGACTGTTTGTTAGAAATAAAAATATTTCATAGTCTATGTGATCGTTCACTTAGAAAATCCAAAAGAATCTGCAGCAGAGTGATGTCACTAGAGATAAGGTCAGTGTACAAAAATCAACTGCATTTGTATAAGCTAGCAATACTTAAGATAGAATTTGGTGAAGACATCATTTACAGTAATATTTTTTTAAAGCCATCAGATACCTAGAAATTACTTCTGACAGACCTGCAAAGACTCCACACAAGAAAAACTATAAAACCAAAATATCACTGTGAAAAATTTTAAAAGATCATAGCAGATGGCATAGTGTACTATGTTTATGGTTTGAAACAATATTGTTCAGGTGGCAATCCTTCCCAAATTTATCTATAGATTTAATAAAATCCCAATAATGCTTGGGGGAGGGAGTAAACAGGGAGGACTGAATTTATTTGAAATATAGAGAGGCAAAAATAGCTAAAACCGTTTTAAAGCGGAAGAGCAATGTTAGAAGACTAGACCACTAGATAGCAGGACTTGCTGTAGAGTTCTGTACTTAAAACAGTGATATTAGCACAACGCTAGACAAATAGACCAATGGGACAGAGTGTCCAGAAATAAATCCAAAAATATAGAACTACCTAGTTGATGAAAATGATGTCATTGCAATGTGGTAAGGAAATGATTGTCTTTTCAATAAGTGGTATGGGAGCAGTTGGATATCCATGTTAAAGGAGAACATAGAATATTGGTCCTAGCCAGGCGCGGTGGCTCAACGCCTGTAATCCCAGCACTTTGGGAGGCTGAGGCGGGTGGATCACGAGGTCAAGAGATCGAGACCATCCTGGTCAACATGGTGAAACCCCGTCTCTACTAAAACTAAAAAAAATTAGCTGGGCATGGTGGCGCGTGCCTGTAATCCCAGCTACTCAGGAGGCTGAGGCAGGAGAATTGCCTGAACCCAGGAGGCGGAGGTTACGGTGAGCCGAGATCGCGCCATTGCACTCCAGCCTGGGTAACAAGAGCGAAAATCTGTCTCAAAAAAAAAAAAAAAAAAAAAAAGAAACCTTCCAGAAGATAGCATATCTTCCTGTCCTTGGTAGGCAAAGGCAGGATACAAAAAACAGAATACAAAAAGCACTAATCCTAAAGAAAGACTGATACGTTGGGCTGCATTAATAGGTCTATCATCAAAATACACCATTAAGAGAGTCAGAAGGGCAACCCACAGAGTTTGCAATACCGTACATCTATCTGACAAATTATATTGAGAGTATAAATAACTCCTATGTAGTAATAAAAAGATGATCCAATTACAAAATAGGCAAATAATACCTGTGTCACAAAAGGATGTATTCAAACAATAAACAAATGTAGAAGTGTTCAATGTTATTAGTCATCCAAAAATGCAAATTGAAATAATCTCATACCACTACATACATCAGAATGGCTACAGCAAATAATAAATCCTAAAAACTAAACCCCCAATATCATATGCTATTGCCAGGGGTGTACTTGGCATAACTACTTTAGGAAACTCTGTTAGTACCTACTAAAGCTAATCATCTGTTTGTCATAGGACCCAGCAACTTCATTCCTCTGCACCTATTCACCATAAATGCACACATATATCACCAAAAGGCACGTACAACTATGTTTGTAGTAGCATTCTGTTATATTAGCCCTAAACCATAAATAATGCAAACGTCTACCAATAACAGAATGGATTTTTTATTTTTATTTTTTTTGAGATGGAGTCTCACTCTGTTGCCCAGGCTGGGGTGCAGTAGTTTGAACATGGCTCACTGCAACCTTGAATCCCTGGGTTCCAGCAATCCTCCCACCTCAGCCTCCTGAGTAGCTGGACCTACAGCAGGTACCACCATGCTCAGCTAATTTAAACAAAACTTTTTTTGTAGAGATGGCCCACTTTCCCTGCTAAGGTGACACAGGTAAGTGGTGACACTCCTGCAGTGATACTGCTAGGGTCTGCAGTCTTAACCCTGCTGCCCGGGGATCCTCCCCTTCCAGCTGCACATGGGAACCACCTGGGGTGTGCAGAACCATCCACGTCTGGGGTCCCTCCTGAGTGGATCTGACTGACCAGGTTTGGAGGGTTGCCTGGCCATCTGTATATACATGTATATATTTCTTTTTTGGGGATGGAGTCTTACTCTGTCGCCAGGCTGGAGTGCAGTGGTGTGATCTTGGCTCACTGCAACCTCCACCTCCTGGGTTCAAGCAATTCTCCTGCCTCAGCCTTCCAAGTAGCTAGGATTACAGGTGTGCACCACCACACCCAGCTAATTTTTGTATTTTTAGTAGAGACAGGGGGGTTAGCCATGTTGGCCAGGATGGTCTTGATCTCCTGACCTGTGATCAGGTGATCTGCCCGCCCTGGCCTCCCAAAGTGTTGGGACTACATGCATGAGCCACCCACTGAGCCCAGCCCCATCTGTATATTTTTTAAAAGTTTTCAGGTAACAATATCAGTCAGCCAGGATTGAGAATTATTTTGTTTTCCAGGAGTAATTGATTTCTTAGAAGTAGCCAACTCACCCCCTCACCCATCTCAACAAACCCCAGAGGGTCTTAGGGTATGATTTGATACCTTTAAATTGAAATGTTGCTGTGGGTCATGCCTTTGCCACCTGATGAGCCTGCTTGGAAATTATTGTACCTGCCATTTTTATTTCCACAAATTAACACTAGATGGCAAACTACACACGGGGAATCATTAAGCATTTCCATTTCTGAAACACTTTATTTTTCCTTCGAATAACCTCTTTAGCCAATATTTGAGTTTAATAATATAGTATTAAAACCAAGGGAATTCTTCATCAATTGAATTATTCCGGCTCGTGGGTTAACTCACATTCCCTTCAGCAGAGCCATAGGCGCCCTGTATACACTATGGCCTGGATTCCAGTTGTCTTAAAGGCTCAGCTGTTAAAAAATGTTTATTAATCATAACATAGAAAATAAAATACTTCTTTTTTATCACACCTGCGAACACTTTTCCACCAATAGGTGTCAATACTCCTTGTTAAACAATGGACTCACTAATAAAAACGTTTACCTGCCTACCTTTTTGGGGAGCTTGTATCTCCAGGGATACAGGCAGGGGGCGCTTATGTACTACTATATGCCCACTTTCCTGTTCCTTCTCAGAAACGGCTTGGGTGATGAAGTAATGGAGGTGGGGTATGTGAGAAACAGTATGAGAGAAGTATACATTACTATGTTGAGGAACAATGTAATAACATTGTCATTGATTTAGTCCCTCATAACTGGTAAAAAACCTTCATATCCCTGACCTCAGAGTGGCAGCAGCTCATCCAGCTACCTCAGAGTTGGCAACATCACTCATCTGCCTTACACATACAGGTGGGGTGTGGGGGATTTGTTTTATTTTTAAATACTTTATGTATGTGTGTATGAATGAATGAATGAGTGTTTTGCCCTGTTACTCAGGCTAGATGCAGTGGTGCCATCATAGCTCACTAATCTCAAATTCGTAGACTCAGTTGGCCTATTGACCTTCTCCACTCAGCCTCCCAAATAGCTGGGACCTCAGACACGTGCCACAACACCGGGCTAATTTTTAATTTTTTTTTTTTTTTGTAGAGACTGGGTATTGCTGTGCTCCCCAGGCTGATCTCAAACTTCTAGTCTCAAATGATCCTCCTGCCTCAGCCTGAAAAGTCCTGGGTTTACAGGCACGAGCCACCACACCTGGCCAGGTGTGAGGGATGTAGAGTTTCAAGTAATCCTTCTAAATGCAAATATATGATCACCAACCTAATGGTTTCTCAGTTTTCTTGGGATAAAGTCTGAATTCCTTAATTTGGATTAGAAGGCCATTCATGATCTGGTTCCCCCTCCTTATCTCTCAGACTTTTCACCTCCAGCCTCACATTCTCATGTAGAGGTAGGATTGGATTTTTTTCAGCTTCTGCAGCATGCTTTCTTCTAGCTTATGAACCTCCACAAGCTGGCTCATTTTGCTCTATTTTTAGTAAGACTCTCTCCTACCTTCCCCTTTGAACCCCATTTTAACTCAGGCTTAACCTACCTTCACATGTTTAATATCTATTTACATATTACCCACATGTTTGGTTTTAGCTTACTTTTAACTTCCTCCAAGAATCCTATGACCACTGAAGTGTGGCTATATTTCCTCTCCTGAGTGCTCTGCATTTCTTCATCCAGACAGCTTATCTGCTGTATTATAACTGCCTCCTGTAGGTAAAGATGGTCCTGTGAACACCATGGGGAATGGAGGCACTTCTTTGCTCATTCTTGTATTCTCAACTTACGGTGCAGTGCCTGGTTAACAGCAAGCCCTCTATAAATATTTGTTAAGTACTTGAGGTGTCAATATCTAATGATGCCTCTCTTATGCCATCTTGTACCCAGGTTTGAGAGCCATAATTTATGCATGCCTACAAATAATAGATTGTCTAGAACCACCCCAAATTTCCCAGAAAAGCTAAAGACCAGACCACATAGCACTTGGTTTGGTTTTTTTTTAAGCCAAACTATGAAGAACCCCAAAGTCTTGCAGATTCACTTCAGATTCAAAGTGACAGATATGAGATATGAAAAATATAATAAAATTTCTGTCTGTTCTACGAAATCAAAATGAATGTAACTTCAGTGATCATGTAAAATTCAGGTATATTGAGAACTTCACCATATTGAGAACTTATTAGGGGCGTCTAATCTTTTGGCTTCCCTGGGCCACATTGGAATAAGAATTGTCTTGGGCCACATGTAACATACACTAATATATATTAATGATAGCTGATGAGCTTAAAAACAATAGTAAAAAAAGGCTTAATGTAAAAGTCTATCTTGAACGTTATTGTTTATTGTAAGCAACAGCCCATGACCTCTGAAACTCATCTCTGTTTGTTCCTTATATCTTAAAGATTCTCTTTGTCACTTCCTGGAAGAAAATCCTATGTGATTTTAATATCAAAAATAACTGTTGTTGTCTTGAGTGATTCCTTTGTTATCATCTGAGAGATCAGTGGGAACTTGATGAAATTATAAGTTCCAGCATCTCATCTCAGATTTATAGAATTTGAGGTTCTTTAAGTGGGGACCTCAGTGATTCTAGTTTTATAAATTCTTCAGGAAATTTTAATGTACACAAAGATTGGAAATCCCTCGTATAGAGAGGAATTATGTAATTGACTAGGGTTCTCTTCAAATTTGGCCACTAGAAAGCTTAGAGGCGAATTTGTGATTCACTGGTAGCAGATGTGTAGAGCATTATGATTTTTAGTAATTTCCCTGTCTGTTGTGGGTTTACCTTTGGTTTGTTTTTATTTCTATTTTCATTTCGCTTCTAATTTAAGTTCTTGTCATATGACATATCCACATAAGCCATCTTAAGTCCTTTTTGGAACATGGCAAGAAACAAGCAGGTAGATAGCCAGGCAAATAGAAAAATAGTTTATTACACTAAACTTCTGTAGAGAACAAAGTATTCTTGGCAACTGATGCAGAGTAAACACCCTTGGCAAATCTGGAGAGGGCCAAGTGTGTGTGGGTGTGTCTGTATGTGTGGGTGTGTGCATGTATTGTGTGTATGTATTGTGTGTATGTATGTGTTTGTGTAGGTAGGTGAGAGGAAGTCGTGCATGTGAATTAGAAAACTATTGCGTTTGTATTTGAATTAGAAAACTATTGTGTTTGTTGACCAGTGAATGACTTTTTACTTTTCCATCAAAAAGTAACTGTTGGCTGGGTGTGGTGGCTCCTGCCTGTAATGCCAGAGCTTTAGGAGGCTGAGGCAGAGGGTCACTTGAGGCCAGGATTTTGAGACCAGCCTGGGCAACACAGCAAGACCCCATCTATATGAAATTTTAAAATTTAGATGAGTGTGGCAGCATGCACCTGTAGTCCTAGCTAAGGAGGCTGAGGAGGGAAGGTAGCTTGAGCCCAGGAGTTGGAGGTTACAGTGACTTATATGGCACCACTGTACTTCAGCCTGGGTGAGAGTGAGACGCTGTCTCTTAAAAAAACAAACAACTGCACTTCCTTGTTGCTCTTCATTCAATTAATGATACATGTACTTGCTAGAAAGCTCATGTGAAACAATCATGTGGATAGCAGGACAAATCCTTATCCTCTTTTGTACCCTTTCTTGGTAGGCCACAAGCCTTTCCACCTTAGGCGTCTTTGTTACCTACTAGCTAATCACTACGAAGGCATTCATTTATCACAGCATTAGAGACTAAGTCTGAGAATTCCTGGGGGCGAGGACCTCCCCTAGATTGTTTTGGTGTGTTTCCGTAAGGGGAAATTCACTTTCCATTTTTCTGTCTGTACTACAACCACCCTGCCTGTGAGAATCACCATAAATGGGGTTGAGCCTGAGAATCACACTGTTCACGGCGGAGGGTGTTCAGGTTCTTGGCATCTTGAATAAAGAATTGAACAAAACCCACAAACAAAGCAAGGAAAGAATGGAGGGTTTTAGTTGAAAATGAAAGTACACTCTACAGTATGGGAACAGGCCTGAGTATAAGGGCTCAAAGGCTCTGTTAAAATGGGGAGCTTAAATATCCCCGAGAGGATTCCCTTGGTTACTTGGGGTACACCCCATGTAAATGGACAGGATGAAGTAAAGGTACAAAGTCATTTATGGTGTCTGCTCTATAGACAGGGTATTTCCTATTACAGCTGAAGTGTGAATTGGCCTTATATTCCCTCCCTCCAGACCCTATATTCCTGCCTCAATACCACACAGAGAGACTGTCTGATTTAGCTGAGAAGTGGTCACGTGTTACGGCCAGGCCAGGTAAACCAGATCTTCTTATCTTGTATTACTCTCCCCAGTCATTCCCATGAAGAAGCTCCAGTGAGATCAAAATTTGAGACCTCTCAGCTAACCTCAGGGAGACATTAGGGAATGTAGCCAGATGCCACTTTCTGCCTGAGGAATTCAGGATTGAAAAGGCTGGATGTCACTGCATTTGCTGGGTTTGCACTTTTCTGGATACCTGGTTGTAACATGGTTCGGTGTTTTCCAGAACACTGTCGGCTGGGCTTCATACCAAGAAGAGCTTTGGAATAATTGGGTAAGAGTTGGCCTATTATGGTCCAGCTGAAATTCTAGAGCCTGATTAATTTAATGGGGGAATATCCTTTAGTTATCACAGTGCTTGTCAAACTGCTCCTAAATTCGGAGATAAGCATTAAACAAAGGGAACCACCTAAAGACAAGCTCCTTCAATTCAACCAAGCACCGTTTTTTGGAGGTATGGGCAGGGCACTGCAGGGGTCTGGAGGTGGGGAGGCTGAGTGCTCTCTCTCTCTGGATAATAATATTTAATAAGAGCAGCATTTAGTGATAAGCTGGCAGTTAATATACATGATTTAATTTAATTAGCTATAATACCAAGAAGAAGAATATAAGGAAAGTTTGATGGAACAAAACAAATAATGTGCTATAAAGATTTGGAGGTGCCAGTGTGGTGACTCATACCTGTAATCCCAGCACTTGGGAAGTGGAGGTAGGAGGATTGATTGAGCCCAGGTTAAATTAAAACATGTATATTAACTGCCAGGTTATCACTAAATGCTGCTCTTATTAAATATTATTATCCAGAGAGAGAGAGCACTCAGCCTCCCCACCTCCAGACCCCTGCAGTGCCCTGCCCATACCTCTGGAAAACAGGTGCTCAGAACCTTTGTTGAACTGAAGGATCTTGTCTTTAGATGAGTCCCTTTGCTTAATACTTATCTTAGAATTTAGAAGCAGTTTGACAAGCACTGTGCTGACTGACGGAGCACTAAAGGATACTCCCCAACTATATTAATCAGGCTCTAAGGATTCAGCTGGAAAAAAATAGCCCAATTCTTACCCAATTATTATAAAGCTGCTCTTGGTATGGTGAAGCCCAGCCGACAGTGTTCCAGAACACACGGAACCAGGTGTTTGAGACTAGCCTGGACAACCTACGGAGACAATAGTTCTACAAATAATTTTAAAAACTAGCCAGGTGTGGTGGTATGTGCCTGTGGTCCCAGCTATTCAGGACGCTAAGCAGGAGCATTGCCTGAGCCTGGGAGGTAGAGGCTGCACTGAGCTATGATCTTACCACTGCACTCCAGACTGGGCAACAGAGTGAGACCCTGTCTCAAAACAAAATAAAACAAAGATTTGTGAGGAAAACTCTCGGGAGGAATTGGAAATTCTCCATGGAAAAGTTTGCTTTTGAATCTAAGGCCATAAAGAATGGATGAAGTCTGGAAAGCTGGAGGTGGGACAGGTATACCATGAAGAGGAAACACCAGGAGAAAACCCTGGGAGATGGGGAAGGACTGGTTAGTTTAGGGAAAGGTAAGAACTCCGATTTAAGGAGCATGCAGCATAAGTCCTTGGAAGGGACCCTGTTGTGCAGGGTCTTGGATGCCAGCTGGGCTGAGGAGTTTCCCTCTAATTTGCCAAGGGTCAAGGCTGTTGAGCAGGTGGAGAGATTGACAGCAGCTATCCCACAGGACTTAGACTGTTGAGTAGCAGCATGCAGACAGGAGTGTATTTGGAAATGACTAAAGCCAGTTAAAAGACTTATGGTAGTCCGAGAAAGAATGAGTGAGGGAAACCTGGCTGTAGGCAGCAGAAACTCACAGGATAAGGACAGATCCAAAACTCTTGGTAGAGATATCGTCCATGGGATTTTGGCAAAGATTAGGGAGACAGTGACACAGGAGCAGATTTGGAGATGAGTTGTTCTTTTTGGGGCATGCTGAGCTTCAAGCAAAAATAGGAAGTCCAAGTCGAGATGTCTAGAGGATAACTGGAATCAGCACCTGAGTTTGAGAGGGGAGAATTAGGAAGATTGAGGTTTTCTGCTGAGGTGAAAGGTGACACTATGGGAAAAGAGGTGATTGCAGAAATGCAAAAGGATAAGATCAGAGGTAAAAGATCCTCTTTAGGGGATCTTGTTAGTGTGGATCCATCCTCTTGAAGAAAGGCTTGTCCAGGAAGTTGTTATGTATAAAATAACAATAGTGACTGAGGCCAGGCACAGGGGCTCATGCCTGTCATCCCAGCACTTTGGGAGGCGGAGGCGGGCAGATCACTTGAGGTCAGGAGTTCAAGACCAGGCTGGCCAAATGGTGAAACCCCGTCTCTACTAAAAACACAAAAAATTAGCTGAGCGTGGTGATAGGTGTCTGTAATCCCAGCTACTTAGCTAGAGGCTGAGACAGGAGAATTGCTTGAATCAGGAGATGGAAATGCAATAAGCTGAGATCCTGCCACTGCACTCCAGCCTGGGTGACAGAGTGAGATTCTGTCTCAAAAAAATAAAGTGACTAAAAGCATTTAAACCCACTAGGAACTGATATCTTGACCTAGATGTTGGTTATCAACTAAGAGCACAATTTGACCATGAAGAAAACAATCAGATGACATGAAGGAAGAGCTGCAAGAAATCAATTGGCAAATTTATCTTTCAAAACTCCTTGTACAGAAAAGACAACAGGAGAGGAGAGCCTTCCCTCTGATTTTAATAAAGTTTGGATAACAGGCTAGGCCTCCTGATTTATGATATTTGGGATCACCCTATTTGGCTTTATTTTTATAATTCTTGTCCTAAAATAATCTCTGTTCTGTTTCCTCCTTTTGGTTTTACTGTGTCTGTTGTAACAGGAGCAGGCATAGATAATTCCCCTTTAAAATATAAACCTAAGTAACAGGTTGAGAGAGATCCACCATAAAACTGACTCTTGCACCTGGTAATTTTTCCTGCTTGTTTCAGCACTGGAAGTTGATCCTACATTTTTACCTAGTGATTACCGGGGCGGGGCTTACAACCTGAACAAACATTTATTCTAGCCAGAAAACACTTCAAATGGCAAGTTTCAATATTTACTAATCTGCTATTAGCTTAAGCCAGTATACTTCTAATGACTTTCAAACATATAAAGAAAGGTTAATAAATCTGAATGATAGCTATCATACTCTTAAGTCACTAGGTTAGTGGCAAATAATGGTATAGACCATATAATAGAAGAAATAACTACTATAAAATAAATAACAAAATATTACCATGGAAATGAACCCATTTATACTGGCATGAGAGTCTACTCACAGCAGGTTTCTCAGCAAGTCAAAGGGCAGCTCCATTCTGTCCAGCTCCACTCTCCAGCCTGAAAGAATGAACGGCTCTTTCAGGGGAATACATTCCTCCATGGGTGAAGGCACTCTGGAGTCTCCCTGTTTTCTCTAGTGGTAAAACTCAGGAGAATTGGCAAAGGAGAATCTGTTTAAAGATTTTTAAATCTTCTGCAGAATCAGATCTTGTTCATTTTAGACTCATTTTCTTTGCCTACTCTTTAAAAAAGTAGAACCAACATAGCTCTGAAATAATTCAGTTGAGCCATCCAGGAAGGGGTTGCTTCCTGTTTTCTGGACACTTATGCAGGCAGTAGAGATATTGGTGAGAAAGGCTTTGGTGTCAATTAATCCAGAATTCAACTTTCTGCTCATTTATTTCATTACGCTTAAGTCATTTAACCAGGGGTTTCTGGAGAATCCAGTGGCAGGTTTCAGGACCCAGGGTTATGGTGATGAACAAGTAGACACAGTCCCTGTTCTCAGGGAGCATACATTTTAGTTGCAAAGGACAGACAATTTTAAAAATACCATAGTAGGCTTGGCATAGTGGCTTGAGCCTGTGATTCCAGCACTATGGGAGGCTGAGGAGGGCGAGTCACCTGAGGTTAAGAGTTCAAGACCAGCCTGACCAACAGGGAGAAACCCCATTTCTACTAAAAATACAAAATTAGCCGGGCGTGGTGGCACACAACTGTAATCCCAGCTGCTTGGGAGACTGAGGCAGGAGGATCGCTTGAATGGGGAGGTGGAGGTTGTGGTGAGCCAAGATCGGGGTGCCATTGTGCTCCAGCCTGGGTGACACAGCAAGACTCCCTCTCAAAATAAATAAATAAATAAATAAATAAATAACAATAATAATAAACATAAACACAAGGCCACAAGGCTTAGATTTTCTGTGTGATCTTTGACAAGTGTCTTAGTGCCTCAGTTTTCTTTCCTTCTGTCTTTCTTCCCTTACCTTCCCTTTCCTCCCCTTCCTTCCCCTCCCTCCCTCCCTCATTTCTTTTTCTTTCTTTCTCTCCCTTCCT